CGGGAAGACGTGCTGGCGTTCGGCGGTGTCTTGCAGAGGTGATCCCTCTGGGAACGACAAAGGAGCCGGGTGCACATGTTGGGGCTCGTTTTGAGGAGCGGCGGACGCCTACGTCATTCTTAGCACCGCCAACAACGGTGTAGTTGTTCACGTACCATCGTTATCTGACCTGTCTCAACATCATGCGGAGACGTCGATAATGGCTCCAGTGTGATCGGATCCACCGCGTGGCGCTGCAGCTCAGCACTCGCGTAGAAAGCCAAACCCACCTTGAAATGACCATCCTCATCCTTGTTCGATGCCTCGTCGGAGCCCATGGGTAGCTCCCCACGAATCCACGGCAGGTACTCGAGGACCGGCCCCGGCGCTGGGGTCTGCGTTCCAGACTCCCCCCTGTTCAATGAGCTGGAAGAGTCCAATTAATCAGACAGCAGTGCTCACCATGTCTCCATTTGTGCGCAGACCACATCAAATCCTGCTCGGACAAGTATGAGGACGAGTCGTTGAACCTCTGCGTTAGTACAAACACGTCAGCCTGCACTTACCCGTTTGCGCACACAGAAAAAGTATCTTGTCATGCCGGCCACGACGTTCACCATTATCTGGAGGTCCTCTCGAATCTGCCCCTGAAGTCCCGCCATAGGCCCGCCAGGGGAAATGCCTCGGACCCGCGAATATTGCACCAGATTCCGCGCACTTTCGTGAGCCCACATGCTGTAGTCGAGCATCGTCGGCACGTGGTCCGGGAAGTGTCTCGCAAGGAGGCGAAATCGGTTGCTGATCGAGCGAGAGCGAATGAAGCAACCATGGCGCATCTTGTCCACCCACCCCTCTGGTGCTTGCACCAGAACCGATGCGGGCAGGGACTGGTCGAAACCCGGACAGGCGACTCGGTACAACGAGGCATGCAGTGTATCGTACCAGCAGTGTAGCGACATGAGGCTGTCTAGGGCATTGGAGTCGAAACGTGCGTAAAGGTTGATCTCTTCGAATTCGAGCTGCGAAGGCAACTCTGCGTGCCATCGACCAAGGGCATCGAGGCAGGCTTGCAGCGGCGAGGCAGTGTCCCAAGGCTTGAGAGGCTGTTCCGAAATATTTTTGCAGTATCTATGCCATCAGCAAGGCCCTCCGCGCTTCTCACTGACTGTATCACGTCGTTGCGAATCGCCATCAACCGCACATATTGCGACATCAACCCTCCCAGACGGTTCCTTTCACCGAGGGACGGAGGCCGTTGCAAAGGATCCGTCTCCTCAGGTATGGACAAGGCAAAGTTGTGCTCGTCCGCGGGCAAGTTAATTCTGACTGCAGAGGCCGGACAGCTGCAGTACTCCAGTATCCCTCCATGGGTCATTGCGTCGACGCAAAACGAACTCCACATGAGACGTCTCGATACCTCGGCTTGCATCCATTGCGCTCCTGTTGGCCCCTGCCTGTTCAGACCTAAAGCGAAGGCCATCCTGGTGGCGAGTACGTTGAGAGTCCAAGCGGCGGCTGAACGCCCGCTGTTGATATCATGCTGGATGAGAAGCAGTGTTGCCCCCAGAGTAGGGCGCGAGAAGCGGTCCAGGTTCTCCATGAGATCGTGTCGGATTCGGCATGCCCAGAACGCCGCCCGCTCTCCTCCGTCCGGATGAGCATCATCGCTTAAAGAGGAGAAACGGTACGATATGACACATATGGCAAGCAAGAGCAGGCGCGACACGGTACCATTGTGGACCGTCCGGAGGAGGTCGCTGCGGTGAACAAAGCTGGCTGTGGGGTTAGGATGTACGCGCGAGAAAAATGCGTCCAGGAGAAGGCTGCGCTCCTGGAATGACGGCACATCATCGACGTGGCTTGCCGTCTTGTCCGCCCTCCAGTGCGACGCATCGGTGGGGAGCGGTGACGACACGACTTCCCTCCGCCTCTTAGCCGGAACTGTGGATGTACCCGGAACTGATACAGATCCGGTTGACCTTAGAGCTAGGGTCGCCATGTCGGTGAAGTTGTCATGGGGGCCTCCAGCTGGAGTCGCCCATTGACAATCAAGTTCGAGCTTTCGGCAGTTCAGACATTCGCCAGGCGTTTCATCACACTTGACCTGGGGCTGTAAGGGACGTGGAAGGATCCAGTTGAACGATCGTGCTTGCCTTCCGCGCTCGACATGTCCGACACCCTGCTAGAGTCAGCCGAGCCGAGGCGATGCCGACGACCGCTGACCTTTCCGCGACCGCTTTTGGAGACCTGCGACAACCAAAGGGGCAGTTGTTCCGCTCGAGTAGTGACTGCTGCTCATCGATGGGAAGATGACGAGGGAACCTGCTGGTCATAAGGGGATTGGGTGTCTCTTAAAGTGCCCCTCGAGCCGATCGGAAGAATCGGCTAAGGCTGGAGTGGGCCAAGTGACGCATCATTTTCATATCGAAAAGTTTCAAATAGTTGTAACTGGATCGAGCCTTTTTGCAATCTGTGATTTGGGAGATTCCAAATCGACCTCTGGAAAGCGCACATCCTGTTTCCACGGTACATAATCCGACGTTTCCACCATCCACTGCAGAATTGCCTCCCGCATTCGCTGACATGTTTCGGCGTGCTCCGACAGAGCGGCCAGGTTGTGCGCCTCCCCGGCTAGAGGGGTCTGAGCAAATGTCCCAGGCGTATTTGTCTTTCTCACTCACGATCGTGCTTGCGGCTATAGAGCTCGGGTTCCTCGTATAGACGATACGTGTACGCCCAATCCTTGTCCCTCACAGAGATCTTGGAGCTGGTCAGCGATCGATCAGTAGCACCATGGAGGCGATGTCGCTTACCGCTCGTCCCACCGAGTCTGGCCATGTATGTTGGATTGAGGACTTTTTGTCGTACGGGAAGCCTCCACGCTCTGTCAGAGGCTCTTCTCGCAAAAGGAAGCCCCCTTCCGTGAAGGCATATGGCTTGTGCTCCGTTAGAGTTTCTGCGCGCGTCAACTCCGCAGCGCGGGTCCCGGGGCTCACCTTTGATCGTCTTGACCAGTGACACGCCCGAATGAGGATATCTTTCCTCGACCCCCAGCAGCTCCAGCACGGTTGGCACCAAGTCCACCATTTCACAAAGCGCCTCAGTAACTTGGCCCCGCGGCAGGTCTGGTCCGGCGATCATGAGCGGATTCCGCGTGAGCACTTCATGCACCCCAGCTGGCCATTTCTCGACCATATCGTAGTCGCCGAGGTATTCGCCATGATCGGTAAACATCATGGTGTACGTCCTGTCCCACAAATGACCAGTTGATTGATGTTTCAGGGTGTCAATGATCGAGCCGAGCTGATCGTCGAGGCGACTGATCATACCATACTTATCTAGTCAGGACGGTCACCGAATGGTCCTGACTCACGTAAACCGCCTTGATATCGTGCCAGTGCTGCTCCGTTGCGCGGTCCAGTCCGTATTCCCTTCGCACGTGCTCCATAAAGCGAGGTTCATATCCCGTCGTCTCGCTGAGCTTGACTCGTGGGGGAAGTGTTTCGGCAAGATACATTGAATAGTAAGGATCCTTGACTTTGAAGGGCGGGTGGGGATAGAACAGCGGCAGGAAGAGGACGAAGGGTTCCGGTGGACTGGATTCTAGCCACGCCAATGCCGAGTTTATAGCGGCCTCATCATAATCCTGAGGAGCGGTCTCCTCGACCAGTCCCTGGAAGAACAGCCGCTGTTCCACGGTTGCTTCTACGGGTGGCTCAGTCTGAGTGGTGCGACTTTTGCCTGTGTACTTCGGCGGCCAGTTGGGCGGGCTCTCGACGAAGCCGTACTAAAAGGTAAGTTCGACTCATCACGCCCAAAATGCAGCTCACCTCGTTGACGCACAGCTCGGTGACGCCAGCACCGAAAAGGTCCCCCCTTGTAGCTAGAGCTGCGATATGATATCCCGCGTCCTTGAGCACCTTGAACATGTTGTCCTCCCACGGTTTTAGAAGGTCGTTGATGGACCGGTGGGACGACGTGTGGAGGTATTGTCCCGTGAACATGGAGCATCGTGATTGGGTACAAACGGATGCCTGTGTGAAGCAGTCTAAGAACGAGCATGTCAGCGATGTTGACGTTCATGGCGTGAACCAACTTGTGAACAGAGTGCCCTCTCGAGCAAGCTTGTCGAATCGAGGTGTCCTGATCACCGGGTTGCCAGTGCAGCCGAGCGAATCATACCGCAGCTGGTCAGGCATGAACATGATGCTTGATGATATCCTCAGCCGAAGCGTACAACTAGCGTTGATTCGACTTACAGATTCCTCCTTCTTTGTGCAGCGAAGGGCCCATGACCGTTGCTGGCGCCGTCGCCGTTCTGTGGGACGTGCCCATTGGCGATGCCGTTTTGGTCTACCTCTAGCAACATGTTTGTCGGCGTCCCAATGATGGTGAGCGATGAAAGTGCAGTCAGTGCAGGCAAGGGTTTCTCGGCATTCCTTTATGAGTTGCCTGGGTGCGATCTCCCGCGGCGCAAGCTCACCGCACTGTCTTCACCAGTCATGACGGATGCATGGGTCCAGCCGACCGTCTCGTCAGCCGATCGCGCCGATCGCCTCGGCTGCCTAAGATATCCTGCCTCTTACCCGAAGATTATCCGTGTCCATGGATTATCCGTATCCGCCCAAAGCAATGCCCCCATTCGGTATTCTTGAACCCGACCCTCTGGACAAGCCCGTTGGATGCCTACATAAAAAGGGCTCCTCGGGACTCGATGCGGGGCAGTATTCCCCGGCCTGTAGCTCCTCCAAGTCTCGTACAGGATGTGGAACCCACTCCGACAATACACCCAGTACTACACCACGACTCTGGCGTTGTCGTCCAGTCTCCTCACTTTATCCTCGGCCAACTATGATGAGTCTTCTCACTTTGACTAGAGATGCTCGCCTCCTCGCTGACCCACCGCACCATTTGACAACCAAGCTTTCTCCCAGACCCAGGCATTGGATCCGTTCGTCCGGCGTTTCGGGGACTGCGACGCAAAAACCGGCAAATGCACTCTCAATACCAACTGGCTTAGCATGTTCAACTGTAAGTCATTACTGACCCGCGGTCAACAGAGGTTCATAACCCTCTTAGCTTTGATCTATGTCGGCTTTGCGACTGGCATTCTGGTCGGCACATGGACACAAGCTCGCTGGGGTCGAAAGTTCACCGTCTTCGCGATGAGCTGCATCCCCTTCGTCTCCACCACGATCATGATAACGTCCAAGGAACGCTGGCAGCTTTTGGCCGGTCGAGTCATCCACTACCTTTACGCCGTAGGTGACATATATGAGATCACGAACTCCCGCATAAATCCAGGAAGACAGGCGCTCATCGTATGCAGGGGATGGAGCTGGGCTGTCTGCCCGTATATCAGGCTGAGCTGGTTCCTCAACAAGTTAGAGGCCTTGCTGTTGGATCATATCAGATGTCCTATGTAAGTGTTTGGTCATACCCTTAGTACATCCAGCTCACTTTAAAAGGGCCTCGGCAATCTCCTGATGAATCTCGTGGTCAAAGGCACTGCCAGCCTTTCGACCGATGCGTCCTGGATGATCCCTTTTGGGCTGTTCTACTTTGTGCCCCTCGTCGTCGTCATCGGGTCGCATTTCATCCCAGAGTCTCCTCGATGGCTTGTGCAGAAGGTGAAGTGGACATTCGCCTCCATTATGGCACAGCTGACATCTTAGGGTCGGGTGGCCGAGGCTAGGGCTGTGCTTCTACAGACTCGAGTAAACCCCACCGAAGAGAGCATAGATCGAGAGATTCGGCAGATCCTGCTTGTTCTCGAGGCGCAAGATCAAAAGGGCCGTTGGGCCGACATGGTCAGAGGGAACAACTTATTGCGAACGACGATCTGTTTCGGTTCGGTTTTTTTCAATCAATCTACGGGCCAAAATTTCGCCTCGTCGTATGGGGCAATCTTCATCAAGTCGATTGGGTCAGTCAACGTCCAGACGATGGGAATCGTCAACGCCTTGGCCGGTATCGTCTCGACAGGCCTTGCTATGCTCACTACCGACCACCTCGGTCGTCGATTCATCTTTTGTCTGGGGGCCGCAGTACAATGTGTGGCTCTTTTCGCCATGGCCGGCTTGGGTATGGTGGTACCGTCAACTCATGCGACCGGGGTGGCCATCGTCTGCATGATGACCGTCTACGGTCTCGGATATGGCTATGGTAGCTCGTCGGTCAATCACGTTCTCATCGCCGAGGTACCGCACCATACCCTGCGCGACAAGACGCAACGAATCTGCGGATGGACGAACAACCTCACAGCGTAAGTGGTTACACCAGAGCGGTTACAGGATGTCTGATGGGGAGTAGGTTTGTGGTGGCGTACTCTCTCCCCTACATGCTCAATAAGCCTGGAAACCTCGGCCCGAAGGTCGGCTTCATCTTCGGGCCAATCGCGTTTCTATCCCTACTGTGGGGTGTCTGTGAGTCGATGCAGTAGCGAAAGACGCTGACGATAGTTGTTGTACCAGAGTGCAAGGGACGTACATTGGAGGAGGTCAATCTCCTCTTCTACCACAAGGTGCCCGCTTGGAGATCTGCCGCCTGGAAAGCCCCGGGCAGCAACATGCAAGACCTTGAGGACATGACGCGGCACGGGGGCGACTCTAGCGGCTCCCACGGTATCGAAGACGGAAAACTTGTCCTCGAGGAGAAGGACGCGATCGCTCATTTGGAGGACGCGAAGGCTTCCAAGGCCGGCTGAGATATTTTAGTGAACGGGCTTCGGCTGAAACGTGGCGGAACAGAGCGATGGTGGCAAGGCGGATGGAACAGAGGAGCTGGGTGGGATTGGAGGATGGGGTGTCTTGAGGTGTGGTGGACTTTGAGTGTGCAGTATTGTGTACGAAGCAGGGGTGATTATTGTTACCCTTTACGCGGAACAGTGAAACTCAGCACGGGAAAGCGCCGAGATGCTGAGAGGTATGTAAAGATGAGTTTTCAGGCAACCCGCTCGTCCTCGGAAAGCGGTCGAGGCACATCTGAACCGAAGCCGACCATGTAAGCTAGTCCACGCTCGGATCGACGGCAAGTGCAGGATCCGTTAGCAATTCACTCCTGTACATCCAGTCACCGCACCTCCTGGGGCAGCCCCGACGTCCGGACGGATGGTCAAACTTGGAGCTGTATTGGAATCCTATAATTGCGGGAAGAATCGGCAAGGTACGATTCAGACTGGCTATCCCAGGCCTCGCGGGGATTCGGGCGGCTGCAAAGTGACACCTGAACCTCGAGGATCGACGGTGGCACACACTGATGGTATCAGCTGACGTCGTATGCCGCCTTGCCCCCGCTTGCCCCGCTTGCCCCGCTTCTCCCGCTTCTCACGTGTGCGCCGCTTGACCCGCTTGACCCGCTTGCTCCACCGTTGGTAACTCCGGACGTACTCATCCCCCATAATGTCGACGCATGACGATGTCATCGGTGTGGTGACCGCAGTGCCTTAAAGATACTACCATCAAGGGCATCGGCATGATCGTGAGGGCATCCAAGTTCTTGACAAATGCCCTGTGTGCGGCTGCAGATCCCTCGACTTGGCTCCCGGTCTCTTCACCCAACTACCACCGAAGGCGGCACCATCTCGACCACCTAGTCTTCAACAACGGCAGTGGCAGCGTGAGTTTGACGCGGACAAAGAGCCGCACACTATGATGCTGACTATACCACGATCCGAACAGGCGCCGGTGTTCTTTGACGAGCGGAAGGCATCCATCCGTCGTGACCCGGCCAAGCGTAAGATTCTCGCTTTCAAGTACATCCGGACCAACGGTCTCAAAATGCCGGTGACCTGCGTGGGAGCTGACTGTGCGACGGAGAGCTTGCTCCAGGAGGAGATCTACCATGTGGTCGCCACTATCACCAAGCTCATCAACCTGCCACACCAGCATGCACGCCTCGTCGTGGGGATGCGCGTGTACAGAACATGGGGCACCTGCAACGCCTGAAGTCGGATGGCCTTCGCCATCTTGAGACAATCCCCTCCGGTCTGGTGTTTATCAGAACCTCAACACCACCGGTACAGTAATGACAGGAAAAGGGACCGGATCATATGCCACTGTCTTTGCTGTGATAGCCGTGAGCACAGCTCACACCCCATGCAACCATGTATTGTTCATCGTTGTCCTATCTCAGTAGCTGAGACACTCTTGTAATCCGAACGGCCAAAAGAAGCCGGGGAATGTCATTTTTTTGTGTGCAGCGTTGTCGACAGTATGCTTGCACTCAATACTACAGTACTCTTCAAAAATCTTTACGCGTTTGGCATGTTTTGCCGACCTTGAAAAACCGACATTTGGCGTCGAGATGCCGTTAAGTCATGCATCATGGCTTGTAGCATTCTAACACAACAACGCTGTAGGGGCGCATCCGAGTCAGAGCTAGAATATATTACGTAATTAGAACTAAGCCGGTCTAAGAGGTAGCGTCATAATGACTAGACCAGTATCTTAGACGAATGCAACATACATCCACCTACCCCATAGCGAAAGTACTAAGCTGCAGGTTTGGTTGGTCTTTACCCAGCCTCGCAGTGCATGTGCGTGAGTACTACACAGTCCATAGGTGCATGACCACTGCATACGCTTCATACGACGGCGCAACCCACTGAAACGCTCCCTTTTGGCGGCGGCAGGCCTAGTCCCCACTAGACCCGCCTAAACCGAACCGACCTTACAATCATCCAGATCCGACCCAGAGACCCCTCGACATCGTGGTGTAGTTGAAGGTGTTGCCGATGTCCGCGTCCGCCTCGACCACCAAGGCTTCTTCTGCCGCGTCGAGCTCCGCCGCCGCCTCGTCCAAGTCGGCAGGCAACCGGGTCGAGTTCGGCCTCAAGGGTCTTATCAACATCGCCGTCGCTGTCGTCGGTGTCGCTGCGGGCGCTCTGGCCGTGCTCTAAGCAAAATAAATGGGACAAGCGGGGCAAGCGATCCCGCTTTACCTCACGCACCGAGATACCGGAGAGCGTTGGCGTTGTCCGCGCCATTCGGATCTCGTGCGTGGCGGTAGGAGTGGTCTGGAGTGGGGGGATGTGATGTGAAGAGAGGTATATCCTGAAAGCTTAATTTGCGTGGGCTCGAATGTCGAATTTGTTTTGTTGACTCTATCGGTAAAACGTCACTGTGTTGGGCTTCATAAGAAGGGTAGAGCCAGTTCATGCACACGTAATGGCATGTCGCAACAAAGCAAATACGCGACACGGAGCAGAGCAGACTTCCGTGCCTGCGATGCTACTGTAGCTACACCTTCTCGTCGGCACGCTGCTGCGTCGTGGTGTAGTGGAAGGTGTTGCCGATGTCCGCGTTCTCAGCAGCCTGACCCGTCCTGTGCCTTTTGAGCAACGCGTCGAGCTTCATGACCGGAGTCGACCTCATCGTCGATGGAGGCCACACGGCGTATTGAACGTTCTGAACAAGAGGAGTCGTGGAGCCTTAAGCCTTGCCTTACGCCTTGCAGAGGTGCTTGTTTTCGAATAGTTCGATGGTGTTACATTTGGAGAGGCTCGGCCCGAGGTCCTGGATCGACTTCTGTACACATACATGCATGCAGGCTCGTAGTCTTCGGACTGTAATGTGTGTCCTCCAGAGCCTACTTTCGCGAATGCTTATGCCCAATCGTCCTCCCTATCCCGAGTGTCCCGTATCACGCTCTCCTGCCTCTTCTGCGCTGTGTATTCTCCCATGCCTCTTGGCACAGAGATTGACGACACTACCCGCCAATACCCCACAGCACTAATTATCAATTCCGACACCTCTAGCTCCCCCTTCCAGTCGTACATGTCGATGTATTCCTTCATGTCCATTTACCTCAGTTTGACCAGAACCTCGTTTCGAGGGCAGCTGGTGATCAATGACTACTGCTCAATCTGCTGGCAAACTCGTGAATAGATGATCCCTTGCCCCGGGCGACCGAACACCGTGCCATTGGGACTAGGTCGCGAACCGCCTGGCTTCGGCGCCGCCTTTGATCTGCCCTCGCAAAATTCATTTGTCCCAACATCCATCTTGCCGTCTGTCCGGTTACCCTGACCTCTCCCTCATACGAGGGGATGTTCCAGGTGTTACTTTGGTCGATGTATCCCTGAATTTCCGAATGGTAGGTCTGCTGGTTCCCGCAAAGTCGGAGCCAATCCTGTGGTACTCATCGAGCGAGTATATCACGTTTACCCAGCCATACGAGTTTGGGCGGTCTGGATGGGCTCCATCTTGTTAGAAGGCGCACGGGGATTGGGACACCGTGCACCGCACGGGGATTGGCACACCGTGCACCGCACGGGGATTGGGACGTCGTGCACCGCACGGGGAGTGGGACACCGTGCACCGCACGGGAAAGAGCTGTACGCTGTGCATAGTACATAAACTGGCTGGTTAGCGCTTCTTGCCCATGCAACTGCCTCCCGGATATCACTTACACATCTGGGGGCCTCAGCAGGTGCTCCCACCCCCCCAGAGAAAGGAGGACAACGTGGGAAGAAGAGACGGCAAGCAAAGAATGGAGGGCGGATCTCGGCAACCGTGGGTGGTGGAAAACGATCCGTGGCTTCACGTACGATGATGCTTCTGTCGGCGTCCTGTGCGCTGATGGAGTTGTACATTGTGTCAGCTAGCTCGAGCCGACGCCGCGGTGGCGTCCATAATGGCATGACGGGAAAAGACGGTGCGGTGGCGTATGAGTACAATAGAGTATTGGTGTCCAAGGAGGTCTATTGTTCTCTGGAGCCGGGAGAGGCATAAGAGTAGTAGCTCGAGTAGTAGTCGAGACCGATGCATACCCCCGCCGGTTCATAGCCTACAACAGATTATGAGAACTTGCTGCTCTCCCTGCATCTAGACAACCCTCTAGATCACAGAGCAGTGCATAGATACTCCGCCAAGCAAGGAACTCGATCGACTTGATCGAACCCCGTCTCGTCCGGCCTTGCTCGTCCCCTCACGCTCGACCCACCGGACCCACCATGTCTTCGAATGACAATATTTCGGAGGCGTTCGATTCAATTCCAAAGCTCTCTGGCAAGGAGAACTATGTCACCTGGAAGCAGAGGCTCACCCTTGCCTTGATCCTCACTCGATCGAACTCGTACATCGACCCCAACACCAAGGTCCCCGCGGAAGACTCGCTCGACACCTGGACGGATCGAGACAACAGGTTGCGGCAGCCATCCTCTCCACCACTTCTGGGAGCATCCTTTCTGCTCACATCGATCACCTCAATGACTCTACAACCGAACTTCCCCAATCGCCTGTGAACTTCAAGGCACTTGAGAAGCTCTATGGCACCTCTGGACCGCAGTACTCGTTCGCACTTGGTCGGAAGTTCCTTGAGAGCAGGTGTGCAGATCAGGATGATGTGGAGGCATGGGTGAACCAGGTTCAGGCCCAATACCGTGAGCTCAAACTGCTCAAGTTCGATTTAGATGCGCTCTGCATCAATGTCTTGCTCAATGGTCTGCCCGATCGCTTCGGGTCCTTTGTGGACTCGATCTGGACGGCCGAGAAGAACCCTTCGGTTGAGGACACCAAGATCTCTATCCTCAGGGTGAATGCTGGGCAGCTCAACCGTTCGAACGAAAAGGCCCTTGCAGCTCACAAGGCCTCTCTCTCGCTCGACTCCACCACCTCGCTCAGTGCGTTCTATGCTGGACTCATGAAGTCTGGAGGGAAGCCCAGCAAGGTGCACCCGTGCGCTCGATGCGGTTCCCCCACTCAC